TTGAGAAATAACGTCCCCTAGAGTTTGATAATAATGTTCCTAATGTGATTACATTGGAAACTGATTAAGGAAGAACGTGTTCCTAGCCATACGTCCAAATTTCTAAATTTTTTCCCTCCCAGGAACATTATAGGTTCCCGGATGATTCCCCGTTCCGTACGAGGCTGTATACAATAAAACATATGTAAAATATATCGGGGTCTCACCCGTGAGGTGAAAAACATACTCCATAAAATACCGCATATCGCCGCGAATATCGGCTTTTCCACACAGCGCGGCACTTCACGTACTAAACACTAGCTATAGATATATATAATCTATATACTACAAAATATATTTCAATATATTACTATAGCTAATATGAATACCACACCTTCCACATCTCACCACTTCATCACACTCCCCCCTCAGCTCGTCACCATAGGACATATCAACTTCAACCGTTTGTGGTTTCACCGACTTTACCAATCTATCCTCATCATCCTCCTCGCACGAAGAAGACGTAGTAGAGGAGGATGACGGCGATGTGGGCTCGTCGGAGGTCTCCAAATCGATCACGTCAGAGCGAACCTGTATCGACAATCACAAAAAAATGATGGTAAAAACATCACGAAATCGGAAAAATTTCCCCAGGATATTCCCATTTCGCAATTTTTCCCGTCGTTGAAGAGCATCAATTCGCGCGTTCATTCCCATGAAAAAATACGATGCACCTATGCACAGCCGGGCCGAAAAAATAACGCAAAATTCGATAAGATCCATAAAAGTGTATGAGGAGTTTTTCCGAGTTTTTCCCCACAGGCTAATTTCGAGGGATTTTTTTTCAAAGTTCTCGTTACTACAACCAAAATTTGTTTACAAACTCCGATACTTAGTAAGAAAACTCCTGAGCTCAGGTGCTGAGGAGAGCGATTACATATATTCCTACTCCAACACCTGTATAGGAAACTCCTGAGCTCAGGTGCTGAGGAAAGCGATTACATATATTCCTACTCCAACACTGTATAGGAAACTCTTCTGAGCTCAGGTGCTGAGGAAAGCGATTACATATATTCCTACTCCAACACTGTATAGGAAACTCTTCTGAGCTCAGGTGCTGAGGAAAGCGATTACATATATTCCTACTCCAACACTGTATAGGAAACTCCTGAGCTCAGGTGCTGAGGAAAGCGATTACATATATTCCTACTCCAACACTGCCACTGAAATTGCCTCCCTGCTACCTCAAACACTAGCTTTACAATAGGAACTCGTGCGTGCAGAATTCTCTGTTTCACCCGAGCTCTGACATCGCTATTCAGGTTATTCAACGACCGCACAACCGCCTCAGTGGTCGTAGTTAAATATCTTTTTACGCAGTTCTTAGAACCTTACAAAAATATATTCCAAAATATGTATCAACTATAAACAGCGTCCCCCTAGGCACCGAAACATAATCAAATTTTCGAATGTAGCCACAACGGTTTTTATTATTTTATAAGTCCACAACAAAATCGAGCTCAAAATCTCAGAAAAATACTGGAGTTTCACGACTACCCGTTTTACGTGAAGTGACGGTGAAAAACGCGATTTTCGCGGTGATATGCAGTAGTCGTGAAATACATTTTTCACCAGTGTTTTTCATATCACTAGGGTGGTAAAACTCCAATAATAATCGATAATTTCTCAAAGTGTCAAAAAGCCCATGCAGCCACATCCATGAATTCATACAGAATTCATACCATAATTTTTCCACAGCTGCAGAGAAATAAAAATTGCATGAGAAAACAACCGCGCAGGGAATCGAACCCGGGATCTCCCCACCCTTTTACAAGAGTTTATCCGGCGACCTTTCCTATACAAGACTAAATCCAAATCGCTTCCACGTATCATCAAGCTCTGCACATACGATCCCTGAAGAACCAAAACGGAAAAAATATTTTGCGATCGGAAAATATGCACATGGTCAACTACATGTGTTGGTAACAATATAGAAATTCCGGAAATTTTCGGAAATTTTGCTCATTTCCTCACACGTATGTGAACTCGTAAAAAACTTCTGAGCTCAGCTGAGACAAGCGAATATGCATTCCAATACCGTCGCCATGGTAAAATTGAAATTTTCACACAAAAAAAAATGTCAAACTTGTCCTTCCTTATAACCCCAGACTTATTTTTTTGCCAAGAAAAATGAAAAATTTGCCCAATTTTCCGCAGCTCAAAAACTGTCGAATATCTACCTCAACCATCGCACTTGTAACCCCGGTTGTTCATGTTGTGGTATCATCAAGAAATAATGTGCGTACGCGTGCAATTGACAACGCTAGCAAAATTAAATTTATGATGGATCTAATCCTAGAGAATTCAAACCGTAATCATCTGCCGCCCTTCCCACCTCGATTGCTTCAAAACTCCTCATTGAAATCAAATCATTTTAAAAACTACATAAACGTTTTCATTCCACGACCAAGGAATGCAAACTCTTCCCCCCAAAAAAATTACACCTCCACGTACCGCAAAATTACACGTGCCTTGTAACGTCATTTCAAAACCACATAACCATTTCCATTCCACCGCAAAAATAATTTTTCCCCAAAAAATTACCTGCGCTTTAATTCTCGGTCCTTTATCACCGTAATGATCGTTTAATACATGCTCCACATTTTCCATCACCATTTCGCATGCTCTACTCCACTCCCTGGGTGGACGGCAAGCACGCTCGATCCGCTCGAGATACTCCGACAACTCCATCGGTTTGGCAGGCATTGGGACAGTGGTAGAGTAAAACTGAGAGAATCTTTAGGTTCATCATGGTAAGATTCAACTCAGGCCCGATTCTGGTCAAACCGTCTCAACAGTGGTAGAGTAAAACTGAGAGAATCTTTAGGTTCATCATGGTAAGATTCAACTCAGGCCCGATTCTGGTCAAACCATTTCAACAGTGGTAGAGTAAAACTGAGAGAATCTTAAGGCTCATCATGGTAAGATTCAACTCAGGCCCGATTCTGGTCAAACCGTCTCAACAGTAGTAGAGTAAAACTGAGAGAATCTTTAGGGTCATCATGGTAAGATTCAACTCAGGCCCGATTCTGGTCAAACCGTTTCAACAGTGGTAGAGTAAAACTAAGAGAATCTTTAGGTTCATCATGGTAAGATTCAACTCAGGCCCGATTCTGGTCAAACCGTCTCAACAGTAGTAGAGTAAAACTGAGAGAATCTTTAGGTTCATCATGGTAAGATTCAACTCAGGCCCGATTCTGGTCAAACCCTTTCAACAGTGGTAGAGTAAAACTGAGAGAATCTTTAGGTTCATCATGGTAAGATTCAACTCAAGCCCGATTCTGGTCAAACCTCAACTATAGTGTTGACATAAGCATATCTTGAGAACACCGCAAAGAGCTTCCGAAACCACACATCTTGGCTATGATAAATCTTCATAGTGCGGTACAGGGCCATAGGATCTTCCCCATTACTCACAATAATCGTTCGCCTTGCCGCAAGGTGGAGGAAAAGGAGATCAAACGGGAGGAAATATTTACGCAAAATCTGAGCCGCAAGAAAAAAAAATAAAAAAAATCATTTAAATCAAACAAAAATTCGCTGAGAAATTCTCATGCCGAAAATTTCAACTTAGTTTTTTTTTGGTAAAACCAGAATTATACACGTTTGACCTGGCAGATTATACGACTTCAACGTAGTAAAAAATATGCTACTACTATTATCACTCTCCCACACCTCACCGCACCGCGAAGATTTCACTACTAAAACGTATCTTACTACGCACAGCGCGGTGAAATATACACATGATCAACCACAAGTGTTGGTGACAATATAAAAACTCTGAGGAAATTTTTGAGAATTTCTCTTAGTTTCTGTCCGCGATCGTATATATTCTCTCGATTCGTATATGAACTCCTATAATCATTGAGGAAACTATTGAGCTCAGCAGCTGAGGGAAGCGAGCACATATTTTGACGCACTATGAAAGATTCCCTCCAAATCCACTCACTACCAATAACACCATCCCGCTTACATTCACCGACTCGAGATTGAACACTCTCATTTTAGTCCCCCCATATCGCCGTTTCCAAACAGCAACGCCCGCATGCACGCTCCTATGGTTGGGGTGGCCGCTAACCCCGAGAGCATCGAATGTGATTATAGCCGAATGGGACAGATCAGCTTGCTGGAAGTAACGCTCCTGCAGCACCTAAGAGCAGTGTTGGAGTAGAAGGAATATATGTAATCTCTTTCCTCAGCTGCTGAGCTCAGAAGAGTTTCCTATACAGTGTTGGAGTAGGAATATATGTAATCGCTTTCCTCAGCTGCTGAGCTCAGAAGAGTTTCCTATACAGTGTTGGAGTAGAAGGAATATATGTAATCTCTTTCCTCAGCTGCTGAGCTCAGAAGAGTTTCCTATACAGTGTTGGAGTAGGAATATATGTAATCGCTTTCCTCAGCTGAGCTCAGAAGAGTTTCCTATACAGTGTTGGAGTAGGAATATATGTAATCGCTTTCCTCAGCTGCTGAGCTCAGAAGAGTTTCCTATACAGTGTTGGAGTAGGAATATATGTAATCGCTTTCCTCAACTGGCCTCAAA